AGTGCCCTCCTCTGTGACGTCCTCCCTGCCACCTGCCATACCTCCCTCCTGGCATAACTAGCTGGACTCTTCAATCAGCTTCCTACTGAGTCACTTGTTCACAAGGCTACCAAGAGGATGGGCAAGTGGACTCCTACACAACACTGTTATTACCAGCCCCATTTTATAAGTACAAAGGTTGAACGCCTTGCCCTGGGGGCAACTCGCACTGCCTCTCCTCCCCAGGGGGTCGCCACTTTGTGCCAGGCAAGCAGCTAGGCACTCTGGGGGGAGAGGAGGATTGGGGTGGCACAGTGTCTAATTCTGACTGGCTGGCAGGGAAAAGAGACCTACGCAGCCCCCATCCACAGACCACAGTGAGTGACAGCAGGCTAGGGATCTGCAGAGGTGGAGGGTGAGTTCCGCCTGCCTGGGAGGAGTCCTGCAAGCTTCTAGGAGGAGGCATCGTGGGGCCTGGCTGGATTCCTCACTGCTCCACTCCCACGACCACCATCGCAGAAGCAAGGGCACGCCTTGGCCTACAAAGCTCTGGTGTCCAGTGAGTACTTGCCACCGCCCTGGAGGCCGCGAAGGGAGGAGCAGTGGCTGCCCTGCCAGCTGCCCTGCCAATGACCCCACTGTGGCCAGGCCGGCCTGCCTCCAACACTGCCAACCTGGCCTGGCCCAGCTGGCTCCCAGCTCACAGGGTCCTCTCTGCCCAGCTAACGACCATGCTGCCAGCGGCCTAGGGCACCACCCTTCTTCAGGAAGGCGGCAGCTAACTGCAGAGCCTGCTGCCCCAGACAGCGGCCAGGCCAAGAATCACAGCCGCCCCGCACACCACATCCGCTGGCCCTGGTGCTGTGGTCTCCTCCCGTACCTTCCAGGGTCACAAAGGACACTGCAGAAGTTGGAGCTCCGGGAGCTCAGGCACCAGCCCTCTCACGTGTGGGAAAACAGAACCACAGAGCGGGGCTGACTGACACCGGGTCACACAACCAGCCAGCGCAGGGCCCAGGGCCCAGGGCCCTGAATGCCTGGCCACGGGCTCCTTCCTGGGCCCCAAGCTAAAGCCAGCACCGGCCTTCCTTAGCTTTAAAAAGAAGGCTCATTTCCAAGCTTTTTATGTGTAAGATATGCACTCAAGGTACTCGGGCCCAGTTGAGGAGACAGGGTATCTTCTAAAAGGTGTCAAGCTGTCTGTTTAGTCTCAGATAGGAGCACAGCCTCGACTCCTCGCTCCCCACTGTCCGGCTGTATGACCTTGAGCAAGACAATACACCTCTCTGAGCCCCAGTTACCTCCCAGAGTTGTGAATGGGAGTGTCTGTAAAAAGCACTTAGCAGTGTCTGGCTCATAATAATTACTCAGGGCTTTAGCTATGGTTAATATCAACATAGTATTATTAAGGAGTATGCGATTGCATTCTACAAATTGTAAAATGTGATGCAATGGTAGGTATTATTTATTACTATTACTGTGAAGTGTTAAAGAATCAGAGGGGGCGTGACAAGAGGGTTGGGTAATCCAGGAATGTTTCTTGGGTATTTTATTACCAGAGCTGGGCCTCAGCAGATGGGAAGGTGAGCGGAGAAGAGGCAGGGATGGCAGTTCTGACGGGAGGAACCCTACAAGCATATAAGCAGTGATGGGGCCACATGTGGTGTTTAGGAGACAGTGATGGGCAATGAGTCAGGGCTCCATGCAGTGGCTACAGTGGGCAAGGCCTTGAATACACAACAGAGGGGCCTGGTCTCCATCTTACAGGCAACAAAGAGCCACAAAGGGTTCTGAGCAGGCGCTCCATGGTGCTTTCTGAAATGTGAATTCTGACACTCAAGGCCCTCTACCATCTGGTCACCCACCCCTCTTCTCTGCACCCCTCACTGATCCCATAAACCCCAGAACCACCACCCCACAGTTCTACCCACTCCTCTGCTTTATTGCATTACTCCATCTCCCCTGCCCACCCCACGCTTCTTATTCACATGATGCACCCTTTCGCTAAGTATCTATGGTATCAAGTGCTTCACATATATGACCTCGCAATTACTCAGAACTACCCTAATTTTACAGAGGAGCAAATGGAGGCCTGGCAGGGTCAGGAGTCTTGTTCTAGTTTCACAGTGAGTAAGTGGCACAGCAAGGGTTCAACCTTAACCTGGTGTCAGGACCCCTGTTCTCTACAGCAAGTTGCCTCTGGCTCCAACCAGACACCTTCCAGCCTTCCAGGATTTCTCCAGTCCTCAAGGGCCTCTCTCTGCCACCTCTCATCACCCATTTGGAATCAGAGGCCCACAGCTTGACCCTAGCTCAGCTAGTGTGGTTTCCATGGGAGGGAACCATGGTTGATATTAGGTCGCTTTCTTCCTGTCCTGCCTCCCTACCCCTCACCCCCACTATATCCAAGACTTGTTACAGCACCAACAGGAACAACCCACCTCCTTTGGCGGCAGGCAGGGACTTCAGCAGCTCAGCTGGACACAGAGCAATTTCTCTGAGCCTTCCTCCCAGCGCAAGAGGACCCATAAATTATTTACTGCACCTTTGTGCCTAAGGGAGTCCAGACAAAGAGCCAGAGAGAATGAATATCAGCTGCCCCAACCCTGGCCCTGGGGTGAGGGGAGGCTTCAGAATCCATTGCCCCTTGCCAGAGTCCCCAAGTAGATTCTAGAGGGTATGAGAGCAGGAAGGTGGTGCAGGAGAGCTTGACCCACGCAGGAGTCCCAGCTGAACAAACCTAGGTCTGTGCGCCTGTGACAGTAGCCTGCATTCTAATCTAGGGCAAGTCTGAGAATTTTCCCAGATTTCCTGGTCAAAATTCCAGCTTCCTTTCCTTATACGGAAGGAAATAGATATTTTGCCAAGCACTGTATATTTATATCTCACTTAATCCTTACAACAACCACAAAAAGATGGAATTCTAATTTACAGAGCAGAAGCTGGGGCTCCCCGGAGTGAACTGGTTTATTCAATGCCACGTGGCCAGTGGGAGGCAGAACAAATTCACACCCACCTGGTCTGTCTCATCACTAAATACCTGTGCCGCTTAGCCTACCTGGTTATAAGCTAGTCCTCACACTGCCTTTTCCATCTGGGTAACTTCCAGGGCACTGGGTATGCAGTTGGCACTCAGTTCCTGAAGCAAATTCAAAGGCCCTGGGCAGGTGGTTTCACCTCTCAGAGCCTCAGTTTCCCACACAAGCTCATCATTAATAAGTCCAGTCGTGGCAAATACTCCCCAAAACAAAAACAAGCAAGCAAAAATCCTCTTTAGCACTTGACAGCCTGCCAGATATGATGGCCCCATTATCTGAATGGGTAACACAGCCCGCCTTGACCCCATTTTACAGGTGAGGCTGGGAGCCCTGTACGCATCTGAGAGGTCCCAGGCGGCTCCCCAACCCTGTTCTGCCTCAGTCCAGGTTCTTTCCATCACACCATAAAATGAGATCACAGGTGTGAAATTATCTCATCAAATAGCTTTGTTTAGAGGCAGGGACTATTATGAGAATTTTAATCTCCATGGATTGGGAGGAATCCCAAGCCCCCAGTTACCTTCTCTTGCAGTTCCCCTGACCTCTCCACCCTCCTCCACCTCTCAGGGGCTTTCCAAGGTGGTTTCCCCTAGACTCCAGGAAACGGGGCACAGCAGGGGTTAAAGAGTCCCAGCCAATGCCACAGGGCTCAAACCAAGGCCATGTCCCCTCCCCCACCGCACCCAGAACAAGAGCCCACAGAATCCATGCCAAGCCCTCTTTCACAACACCCCTCTCCCTGCAGTGCCCTGGGGGTGGGGAGGGGTGGGCAGTAGAAGGAACCCCTTCCTGGAAATCCGGACACCTGGGACCGTGCCCTCAGCCCTGGCAGCCCCAGCATTAAGACCTTGTGCAAGCCCTCCCCTCCTGGGTCAGAGGTGTCCTGCAGGTTCCTCTGCCCAGGAGAGACTAAGGTCAGATCTTTGGTCTGGAGCAATGGCTGTGAGGCTGCTGGGCCCCAGCACCAACCACAAACTCTCACAACGGCTTCATACGTGGTCACCCTAACCTCACATCAGGGGTGAGGAACACCCCAGCCACCCACCCAGAAGGTGCTAACTGGGGAGGAGGAGTGGATACCTTGAAGGATGTTTGGGAAGGTTTTCTCAAGTGTATTTGTGGCTCAACCACTCACTCACTGCTTTAGGGCCCGGGACAATTGGCACCCCCTATCCTAACACCCCCCCCCCATACACCCTGTCAGTAATGGGAACAATGTGAGCTGGCTGAGTGCTGAGGGGCCTCAGGATAGGCTCTGACTTGGGGACCTCTGCAGTGAGTTTCCCCAAAGCTAAGCACAGTCTCAGGACCTCGAGGGTGCCTTAGGGACCGTGGAGTCTGCGGAGGGCAGAGCGGCCAGTGCTCTCCATTCCTGGGCCCACAGGGAGGGGAGCTGTGGAAGTGGGAAGTTTCCCACCTCCACTCTGGGTCACTTTTCCTGGGAGGTGACATGGCCATGGAGTGGGAGGGAAGGAGGCCAGTAGGAGCTCCCTCCCCAGCCTCAGGATCAGCTCTAGGATGCCCCAGTAGCCCCACCTTGACCCCTTCCCCCACCTCCTTCCTGGTGGCTACCGGCGGCTTCCTTTCTTTTTCTCTTCACTTTCTGCCTCTTTCCCTCTCCAGCCTATCCCTCTTGCCAGTCTCACCCCCAGAGTGAAAGCAGTAGGGTCACTCAACCCCGTAGGGTCTCAGTTTCCCCGTCTGTAAGCGCTGGTAACAGTACACGACATCTTTTAGGTCACCGAGTATTAGTGAGCCTTAAAGAGGGACCACTTGAGCCAGGGCGGAGCGCGGACCCGCACACAAAGGGCGGTCAATAAGTGCCCGTTTTCTCCCTCCCCCCTCGCGTTCCCGCGCCCCCCTCCTAGTCAGTTCCAGCCTCAGCTTGTGCCCGGCACACGCCCACAGCTGGCCCCGGAGCTGTCCGGATGGGGTCGGAGGCCGCCTTAGCCCGGCTTAGCCCGGCATCCGGGGCTCTCTCACCTGCAGCTCTCGGCTCCCGCCGGCCGCCGGGGCAGGGGCCCCTGTGTTCTCTTCGGGGCAAGCGCCAAGCCCCTCGCCTGGGCCGGCAGAAAGGTGGCCCCTTCGGTTCGCAGCACCACCCCGGTCCGATTCAGTCCGACTGTCCAGCCCGCCTGGGATCCCTCACGGGGCGCTGGACCCGGGCCGGGGCTTCCTGGGCGCTCGCCGGTCCCAAGTCCGAAGCAAAGGATCGGCAGCAGCTGAAGGTCCTAGTCTCGGGGAAACAGAAGCCGGGGGCGTCCGGGCTCCTTTGCATTCAGTCGGGGTCCTGAGGGCAACCTGCGTTAACCCCGGGCGGAGGGCTGGGGGCTCCGACACACACTATAAAAGGCTGGGAACCACCCTACAACCATGGACCCGTGTGGTGGGCCAGGAGCGTCCCGCCCAGGTGCACTGAATCAGGGTCGGAGGCTCGAGGAGTCCCGGCCACGACGCCCCGGACCGTAGGGCTGCAAGTGTCCCGGCGTGGAACCCGGGGCGGAACCCGGGGCCGGGGCAGGCGGGGCTGGTCAGGACGCGGGCGAGGAGCCGCGGCGCCCGGAGCCCGGTGGGGAAGTCTTTCGAGGTCCGGACTCAGCTCGCTCTGCAAAATGGGGCGGACCTCGGCTGGCGGCTGACTCTGGTGCTCCGGGCCAGGGCTCCACTTCCTCCTCTTCTCCTGGCTCGCACGCCGCTCGCTCAGCCTCACGCCGCAGCCGCCGCCACCCCCGCCGCTGTCATCCCCGTCGCCCACCCCCACAGGACCTGCGAGCGGAGCCCGGGTGAGTCGAGGCAGCGCCGCCCAGCGCCCGGGTGCCAACAAGCGCGGTCCCGCCCGAACGGGGCGGAGTCAGCTCGAGGCCACACTTCGCCGAACCACGGGCAAGGGGCGGGGCGCTCTCCAGTCGCCCTCCCTCGGCCCGCGCCGTCAGACAGCAGGAGCCAATGGGAGAGTGGGAAGAGAGCGGAGCTCTGCGGAACTGGGACTTTACCTTGGAGAGGGCGGGGCCGACAGTGGAGAGGTGAGCTGGAGAGAGGACAATGCAGGGGGTTGGCGGGGTTTAAAGGGCGGAGCGGGAGGGAATGTAACCTGGGACCCCGTTGGAGGAGAGGTGAAGGGGACTGCTGTGTCTGGGACCGGGGCGTGGGGACCACCTTGTGTGGGAGAGAGAGAGTTATGGATGGGGACAAGGATCGGGGTGGGGAGAGAAGCGGATGGAGGCGGGTTATCCGGGGTAGTGGAATCCCCGGGGGTGGGGGAGCCCTCGGGGGTGGTGGGACACAGCCTCCAGGGCTCGGCGCGAGGAGATGAGCGTGGGATGCTGCGACATACCCAGGTTTCAGGAAGCGGTAAAAAATAAGTTTTTGAAAATAAAGAGCGGGTCCTCCTTAAGCATTTCGCCCTTCTCAGCCCCCATTCGCGGAAATGAGCGTCGTTATCAGTTTTAAAAATTTGAAGGCAAGAGCAGAGGATTGTGAGTGACCTTTCTGTCCTCTGCTCCCATCCCTCCTAAGCGCTTTGGGGCAGGAGCTGTGTCTGATTTATATCTACTGAGTTCCCAGCACCCTGCTCACAATGGGGCACAGAGCTGGCATTGCACTGTTTTGATGGGAGAAGGAGCGAATGTAGAATGAATGGCCTGAGGAGTAGAAGGAAAGAGGCCGCACAGTACAGCTTCTCTGTAAGCTGCACATCAGCCTTAGGCAGTAGGTACCTCATTTCCCTGTTGAGGACACCAAAGCGCCGTTAGGCCAACGGATGGTTCTCAAGACCATATCGCTGGCACAAGAGTCTATCTACTTGTTACTGTGGCATTTTAAGGCAAAGCTGTGTGGCTTTGAACAGGTTATTGGACCTCTTTGAGGCTCTGGTTCCTCATCTATAAAAAGGCAATGAAGATGCTGCTACTTGGCAAGGACTGAGCAGGCACCAGACTTCAGAGGATGGAAGAAGAAAGTCTGTTCCTGGCAGAGGACAAAGCATGTGCAAAGGCATTTGGAGTCTGAAAAAAACACCTCTGGGGACCCCTGGTGTACTCCCGGGGGATTAGGAGAGGCTTCCCTGAGGGAGTGATAGGCAGGCTCAGGCCAGAAGTAGGGGTTAGCTAGGTTAGGAGGGAACCTCAGGGAATGGACAGTGCTCTGGGCAAAGGGACCAGTCTAGTAAAAACCTTGGAGGTGAGGGAGAGTGTAGCTTTGTTGGAGAATGCAGACCAGTTCAGGGGGGCTGGAGCTCTCCAGGCAGGGTGAGCCGGACCAATGGGAAGAGGAGAATGTGAAGAGGCAGGTGTGGCCAGACAGAAGGGAGTTCAGACTTAATTCTAGGAGCCAAGAATTCTGTTGGGGTCTTGCTTGTGACCCCGATCTCAGCAGGGTTATGCTGAGGCCCCAGCCTTGAAGACATTGAGTCTGTACTCACTGGTTGTCAGAGGGGTGTTCTGGGAAGTTTTTAAGCCAGGTACTGATGCAGGAAAGAGCTTCATAGGGAAACCAGGTCATGTGAAAACACTTAAAGCCCAGAGATAGCAAATGGTGTGCATCCTGTATGGTTGGTTAAGTGCTGGAGTCCTCAGTGAGGCCTGGACGCAGAAGTTCTGTCCCTTCCCCTCTTTAGAGTGCACCAGCCTTTGAGGATGATTGGAAGCACAAGGAAGAGGCTGAGCTGGAGGCTGAAGTCCAGGCTAGGGAGTGCCTTCTTCTAGCCAAGCCAGGGTTGGGGTGGGCAGGTTGGCCCAGCAAGTTTGCACTGGTGGCTGGAGCCTGAGGGCTGGTAGGAGGTTGTTTGCCTTATGCATTGAGTTTGGTAATGGTACTAAGAAACCTTGTGACTGCTCCCTGCGTTTAGAATCTTCTGTGGCCCCTACTTGTCAGCATGATTAAGTTCTAAATGACCAGCCTGGTGTTCTAGGCCCTCCATTATTGCTGTCTGCCACCCCCACCGGCCTCATCTTCAATCGCTTCTCTCCTCAGACCAAACTCAGCTTCATCCAAAAGCAGGATGCCATCTCCCTCTCTCCCCTCCACGTAGTTGCTCCTGCTGTTCCCCTTGTCTGGGGGACCGTGTTCCTTTTCTCTCCTGAGTCAATTCCTACTTCCCCACCGGACTGAAGGGAAGAAACATTGGGGCAAATGCCCATCTGTCCTTTTCACTGCTGTACCCTCAGAGCCTGGCACATAGTAGGTACTCTGTAAATAATTGTTGAATGAATGCTTCATATCTCAACTCAAGTCTTCCCCTCTAAGAAGTCTGTCTCCTCCAGGAAGTCTGCTTTGGTGTGGAATCTCTCAGCATGAAGGCTCTGTAAGAATGACTTTGAGATCTAGTTGGCCCTGCACCTCTGTGGCAGTGTGTCCCCGCCCGCCGCCACCCGGCTGAGTGCAGCCTGGCCCTTGTAGGACCTCGGCATTGGGAGATGAATGGGGCTCTCAGAGAGCAGCTCTCCGCCGCCCCTGCTGTGAGGGCCTCCTGAGCAGGTCAGAGGAGCAGAAGGCCAGAATAAAAAGAAGGCTTTCAGGACAGACCCTCCATGACCCCTGAGGTCCGGGAGAAGAGTGCCCAAGGTCGCCAGGAAGTGACCAGCAAACAGTTCTCAGGCGCCCACATTCACCCTCTGGCTACCTCCCACAAGGAGAAAGTCTCCAGACCTGGGAGAATCAGGCATTTTTGCAGCCAGAGGGGCTCACAAAGCATGACAGAGGCATGGTCATGGTGGCTTGTCTCAGAGGGTGATTGAGGGCTCTGAGGTGGCTCTGAACCGGGGCCTCCGGGGCTGGCAGAAAAGGCTGCCCTTGTCAGGCTGGTGCCCCACCTCTCCGAGAACCTTCCGCCCTCTTTATGTTCTGGCCAGAGGAGAATTAACAGTGAAGCTACCGCAGCCGCAGCTCTGCTCCACAGCTTCCTATTCTCACAGCAAGTAAACATCCACTTCGTGCCTACGATTGTAGTAGGAATTTGGCACTCTCTTAAATAGAGCCACTAATTGTATGAAACTACACCCCATGAGATCTGCTTCCAACAAACCCTTATGTGCACCCCTACGTACAGGCACTGTGCACAGTGGGTGCACACGGTATCCAGGGATACCATGGAGCACCAGGCAGCTGCAGCCCTGCCCTCCTGCAGCTCACTGTCTGGTTGGGTCTGTAGGCTCAGCTGAACTCTTGGCCCTCAGGGTGTAGCTGCTTTCCGACCTGTTGGCCTCTGCCAGCCTAGAATCCTTTCCCCAGCTCTCCTGCCTTCATGTGCCCCGCTCAGCCACTGGCGTTTTGTCCATCCTTCAAGGCTCAGGACACAAGCTGACCCCTCTGGGGAGCCTGCCCAACCAACTCCCCTGTGGAAGCACAGTATTGTGCATTGGAGCCAGTGACACTACACACTCTGCCTCTCTTGGGACAATTATCCCCATGGATCTTGGGCTGTTTGTGGTTTGGTTTTCCCATCAAAGTATGAGATTCTAGAGGGCAAGTGATGGAGTCTCGTTTCTCTCTATGCCTCAAGCTTGTGCCATATTTACCAATAATTTCTGAGTTGGGTGGCAGTCCAATACCAAACACTGGGCATCCAGGGATGGGACAATCAAGGGACCCCCAGTCTGAGGGCTCTCTGCAGTGCCGTGTGAACACAGGAGACTACAGGAGGAGGACAGAGCGGGAAGGTGACCCTTGAGTTGGTGCCAGAAACACATCCTGGCCCAGTCACCTGCCCTCTCTATGCTTCAGCTTTCTCATAACTAGAATGGAGATGAAGACTTGGCCAGTGTGGCTCAGTTGGTTGGAGTGTCATCCCATAACTGAAAGGTCATAGGTTCAGTTCGTAGTCACAGCATATGGCTAGGTTGCAGGTTCAAACCCCAGTCTGGGCATATGCAGGAGGAAACTGATTGATGTTGTTTTCTCGCGTCAGTGTTTCTCTCTCTCTCTCTCTCTCCTTTTCCCTCTCTCTTTAATGAGAATAAAATAAACCTTAAAAAATAAATAAATAAAATGGAGATGAAAGTAGTGGCCCCTGAAAGGTGGTACGAATTAAACAAGACCTAGTGTTCAGTCAAACAGGCCAGAGGTAGAACTGTGTGTGTGTGTGTGTGTGTGTGTGTGAGTTTACCAAAGTCATTTATTTCCATAGTGCCAAGGCAGAAAGGTCAGGAGAGTCTGTGGCTGCAGACGTGGGCCAGGGGCCTGTCACGCAGGTCTCTGTCCCTGAATTTGGCTTCTGTGCTGAAGGCAGAGGGGATCCTTGGGAGGGTTTGAGCAGGAGTTACAAGGTCAGGCTTGCTCTTCAGAGCTCACCTGGTTAATGTCTGGAGAAGAGACTTAGGGAATCTGAGTCCTGTTTTGAGAGTGACAGGGAGAGATGGATGTCTAAACCTGGAACACTTAGGGAAAAGAGGCAAGCTACTGATTGTGTCTGTGTGGGGTAAGGGAGATAGAGAATCTGAGGCATTTGAAGCCCCCCCCCCCCCCCCCCCGCAGAGAAGGGCCATAACTCAAGGCCACAGCCAGGGACAGCCTTTGGGGTAAGAGGTTAGGGGCCCCAGGGATGGAGTGGACTTGCAAGGAGGAAGCAAGGAAATCCACAGGGAGAGGGGTGGGCAGCAGATGGAGCCCAGGTGAGAGCCAGAGAGGAACTGGTAGAAAAGGGGAGAGGAGAGGAAGCTATAAGGAGAGGTTTGTGAGGGCCAAGAGCACCAGGACTGAAGTGGCCTGAGGTCCACAGCTGGGACTGAGGGTGGCCGGGAGAGGCGGAGGCAGGAGCAGGGGTGCACTTGGGGCCAGTGGGGGCTGC